GCCCATAGACATCCGCAATTGCAGATGCGTTGCCTACCCGTATCCGACAGAGGAGGAGACGCACATAAAGAGGATATTTCCCCTTCCTATGTTTTTCCTCCACCGTCAAATTCACTTCCCCTTCCCATCCTTTCCTCATGAGAAAAAGATGGTAATTTTGTTTTTTTATTCCACATGGACGGAGTCGCGGGAAAGCTAGTTAGTTATATTAATAAAATGTGGTTTTATTGCAGATTTCATGTCACATTGTTATAATATTTATGCAGCTTTTAAATAATGTTCAATACGTGATTACGGTGAGTTAAACTAATGGAAGATTTTTTTTACTCATTAGTGTTTGCAATAGCACCAATCGATCTACTATATCGAAAATTTTGATTACAAATGTCACTTTACATTGTGTGCGTGTCCATGTACATTAGTTTGCGCAATTACCTTAGAAAGGTGTAGGTATATACGCTTTATTACAATCATCATCATCATCACCAGCTCACTGTACCCCCACTGAGGGGCGCGGAGTCTACTCTAAGTTAGGGGTGACTAGGCCATAGTCAACCACGCTGGTACATTGTGGGTTGACTTCAAACATATCTTTGAATTTCTTCTTCGATATTTGCTGGCATCACGATGTTTTTCTTCACGTAAGAACGTCGGGTAAATTTTGTAAATATGGAAATCTAAAATCACATTGGTACAGCGTGATTCGAACCCAGGACTTGTGGATTACTACTGACATTTATATTTACTTGATAACTATATGTTTATATTTCAGAGTAATACATTCACTGTCGTGATATTTATTTTATTAATGTGGACTATCAAGAACATAGCATTATTAATATCGATTAGTTTCGAATGCGAAATGCTGTTCATATCACTCAAGAACACGCAGGTTTTGTTTTTAAAAGCAGTTGCGGATAAAAAATGCACACGTAAGTAAAGAACTATCTTCAGAGTAATTAAAATACTACAGTAGAACCTCGATAAGTTAATAAGGGAAACACAAAATATTTTAAGTTATAGAGGTTTTAAGTTATCAAGGGTCTATGTTGTAGAGGTTTTGGGATCTGACGGGAAGGGAACATATTATTTTTTGAAGTTATAGAGGTTTTTAAGTTACCGAGGTTTGAGTTATCGAGGTTCGACTGTATAAGAGCGGACGCTGTTGTGCGATTGTCGATTGTTTCGTAGCCAATTCAACTATTTAGTTGCATAACTAAAAATCGAGTAGTGTGCACCTCCATATAAGCTTATATGAATCAAAGCGAGACTAAGCAGTTGTGCGATAGTTTACTCACACACTCTCTAAATGAAATAGCTGTTTATTGCGACGTGTGTGAATTTTCCAAAACAAATTTTAGAAGATTCTAGATTTTTCCATTGAAATTAAAGCGTTGTAGACCACCTCTGTGTTCCCGCCGCCCGTTTCCCCTCTTCTCTTATATTAAAAAAAAAACTTTTTTTACAGCATTCGAACGTTTAGCATACAAAAGTCTACGTCGAGGCAATTCGTATTCTCCACTAGTGGCATGTGGTATGCTGACCGTGGACGCCTCACTGCCGCTACGTTTCCTCTCCGTGCTGACCACATACACCGCTGTATTGCTGCAGATACCATTCTCTTAACCTTAGTGTAGTTACTTGGTTAGTATCAATACTTGTAGGACTAACGTATCAGTGTTTGATTTTGCTAATGTGATCTTAAACAGGCAGAGCCGGCGTTAGAAAGCACAGTTGGGTGACTAAGAGCCGACAGAAAGGGCGTCCTAGTTCTGCGAATACAATCACACATAACAGAATTAGTGTGTAGTGGGAGACACTGTTAGGAGCGCTTGTAACCGGCACTGAGTTAGAAAATTTAATCACTGTAAATACAAATATGGAATACCATAGTCCCTTTCCTCTATTTGTTGATAGCACAGCGTGTTTGTTGTGTTTTGAAACGAAATTCTTACAAGATGCCCTACTAAATTTAGGGGACACTTGACCATAAGTATGATAGTTTTATAATAAAAGAGTAACCATATTCTACAATAATTTAATTTCCTTTTCAGAGCGGGCGCACACCTTTGACTAAACTATCGCACAATCGTGGGGCGATTGCCGATTGTTTTGCAGCCAATTCAACTGTGTAGTCGCACAACTAAAAATCGAGTAGTGTGCGCTCCTCTATATAAGCTCATTGGACTCAAAGTGCGACTAAACAGTTGTGCGATAGTTTATTCAAAGGCTTAAGGCTTAAGTCTTTTTAAAATCAATTATATATCTTTTGTTTCACTGTTGCTGAGAGCAAACTGCAGTAAGACGACAATATGGTTCAATATTAGCGCTGCTAAGTTGAATGGTAATTTTGCATCGACAACGAAAACACCGCAGCCGTTCAGCTTCGTATACTGCAAGGCGGTTAACCTTTGTACGCTTTTGACGAACCTTTTAGCACTGGCTGTAAGAAAAAGTTATCTGTCAATAAATAAATGTGAAACTTGGTACAAATTAAGGCCAGTATACAGGGTTAATAATTAACTAGAATGCTCGCAAAAGTAGTATATGGAGTATTTTGTCATGATACATTTGTATAAAAATTTAACTTGGCTATCAGAGTAAATTATTGATAAAGTGAAATTATAAATTCTGACTCACTTCTGCAATAAAATCATCTGCAATTCAGATAAAATTATGATAACATAAACTTCAATTTTAAAATCTCTATACGGAAGTGTACATCACTAACTTTCAATTCCACTCATAAATGTTTAAGTCGATAAGAAATACCTATTCTCTTGGTAGCTCAAATACTATGATCTAGGTATTATGCGCGTCAAGATCTTTGACGGTTCCAATAAGATGCGAAGTGCATTTCCTCCGCATCCTTTTATACTTCGCCATACATAAAATTATATTCTGCGCAGCAACTGCATGTTCCGAGCAACTATCATATTTGATTACTTTTATTCTTTAGTAGCTGTACTTGCGGCTACATCCTCGCAAAATTATAAAATCTTTATTTTATTGTTTACATTTGTCAAATTCTCAATTGCAAATGTTAAAATTACTGTTACCAAGCTTCCTGATAGTTGGCAGCATGTAGGTCACTTTACCATATGAAGGTTTTCTTCCAATTTATTTACCTCCTAATTTTAATAGCGTGAAAATGAATAGCCTAAAGCGTGTCGTAAGTGCAGGGCTTTTTATTAAAGAAATAATTATTCAAAAATATGCTATAATTGTTGACATGTTAGGCAACAAAGAAATGAGTGTTTACGCTTTATTATAATAATATAACTAGATTAAAATATATTCTAATTATTCATTTAAAATACGTACTATACTCTTGATGGCTTCCAAATAATATGACGTGTAGTTTAGCTGTATTTATCTGACGGTAAAAGTTCTCGCACACCATGCAGTAAATTGTTTCCATTGTTAATGATTTGATAACAAACATCGCAATACTCAAGAGACGGCTTGTCATCAGCATGGAATTCAACTAGAAATTAATAAACAATATAATCACATTTAAAATAATAATCAACAACGTCTATAATATTATCGATTAACTGGAGCCCGCGACTTCGCCCTCGTGAATTAAAAAATAATCTTACTATTATTATAAATGGGAAAGTTTAGATGGATGGATGGATAACAGCCTAAACAGCTGAAGGGATCTCGATGACATTTAGCATAGATGTAGAGGATAGTCTGGAAGAACACGTAGGATACTTGCTTTTGTTTTTTTTTAATACCTCGAGGAGGGAGCCCCGGGCGAAAGCTAGTAAAAATATAAATGTTACTCACTGATAACGTAACTTTTTAATGGTGAAATAATGTTTGAGTTATTTCAATCCATACAAAAATACAAAAACACAAATCTTTCCTGTTTATATTAGGATAGATCTACATTGATATCTGGCAGAATTCCTTGATACTAACATGGTGAAAAAAGCTGTGTTGCGGATTAAAATAGCAAAAACCCTGCAGTGTAGACCCACATCAATAGATACTTACAATTTCGTTACCAGTGCATAACATTAGTATTCCAAAGAAAGCCATTGACTGCGTGAAAGATGTCACAAAATGTAACAATATCTGTAATCAAAACGGAGAGATAACAAACAAGAAATTATTAAGATTAAATGTGGATCGCTACAAAGATGTCGGAAGACCATAGAAGTATGGATGGATTGTAAAAGAGGATATGCGTATGGGTGTGAGTTCAGATATGACTGCTGATCGAAATGTATAGAAGAAATAGTAAGAGAAGAGACAGTGGTAGCGCCCGCTTTAACTTCTTCGCACTGCAAGGCCGGCTCGCCCGGTGTAATACCACGACCAAACAGAAGACAGGCGTGAAATGGAAGCAATTCCGTGTTTCGTCTGATGAGTGTGGTGTCGGAGGCCTAAGGGGAGGTTGGGAAGGGGAAGTGGATTTGACGGTGGAGGAAACGCATAGGAAGGGGAAATATCCTTTTTATGTGCGTGTCCTCCTCCGTTGTTTAAGAGTAGGCAACGCATCTGCAATTGCTATGCTATGGGCGCGGTCGCTTCGCCATTTAGGTAGTTTAAGGTGGCTGCTTGCTCGTTTGCCACTTTATGGTATAAAAAGGGCCCTCAAGGCCTCAAAATTAGTTCGTATTCACTGGATTGTATACGTAATATAATAAATAAATATAAATTAAATAACTCGATAGTTACCGTCCATTGTGTTGTCCTCTTTACAAGTGTTAGCGCGTCTAACAAAGATTTATATGTCTTGTACATCATTTGTAAAGTATGTTCTGTAACTCTACTGCTATCTGATGATTGTTTGTCATTTTTATTTAACACTTGTGTCCATTGTTTTATTTTACACGCCATAAAATATACAACAATAGTGGAATAAAATAATTCAAAATCTAATATAAACGTCAAAATGACAAAGCAACCTTTCTGCTTCGTCCAGAACGGATCCAGAAATAATTTTAAGGTTATGAAAATTCCATGAGATAAAATCATTGTGAAACATGAAAACCAAACGATTGTTTTGATTCTTTTAAGAATACGACGATCTGGTATATTACGTTCGATCATTTGTAATATTATTAATAGTTTGGTGTTAATAAAACTATTGCGTAAGTTAAAAACAATAATCATACTGCAACCAACAGCGTATTGAATATAAATAAATAAATAAGTATAGTATGTTGGTATATTGATAATAATCGATAAACTGTATAACGTCAAAATTAATGAGGTAAAAACAATAATTATTCCAAACACAGATAATAATATTCCACGATTAGAACTGGGTGTTAATCGAGTTTTATATAAATCATACTTTCTAATGAATAGGCAAGTACTGATTAAATGCATCGGTGCAAAAATCGACACGAACTCTTCGTCCAACATGGCTTTTAAACTGAACGGAACTGTTCTCATAACACCCTTAATTCATGTTACCCCTACTATTGACTCGATCAATAACTTCGAGTGAATTTTTAAATCAACATATGTAACGAATCAACATCATCATCATCTACAGAAGCAATATCAAAATTGTTACTAAAAGAAAGCTGTCATTGTCACTGAGTAACATTACCTTTATATATTTCTAAAAACTGTTTTTAATGATGTCGACTAAATTTATGCAAAAGCTAGAATCGCCATTTGTTAAGTTCTTCAAAATTTAATAAAAAAATTTCTAGCATATTTCCTTATATTATAAGAAAATGTCGATGTGAAAAATGAAGTGAGTTTCTTTCGAGAATCCATAGTAACGGCAAAACCACTTAATGCAAGTGCACAATTAGTAACAATTACTCTTTATATTTGCAAGTAATTTGCTAAATATTAAAAGCAATTTATTTACTTAATGCTATTAACTACGCAATAAATAAAACTAGTTTTAAAGGTTTCAGTGCTTTTTTTATGAAGTATAACAGAATTATTGTTTGAAATAACTAAACTTAAAATTAAGCTTACATCTAATGAGTTAGAGGCGAGAAATATATATTCTTGTATAATTCTAAATTAGCGGCCAACAACATCGAAACTGACAATTAATAATTATATGAACAATCGCCATTACCTCTGAAAAATCATAAACTCGTTAAGCAAATGTCCCCTACAACTAAATGTATGACATCTGTGGCTCCTACGTAGACTATTGTAAGGCATAATTTAGCGATTTATAAATTGCTTCATGCTTTATAAATTAATTTGAAAAATATAATTGCTATGTGAAATTAAAAATAACGTTAGAAAGAAAAACAAATGTAGAATGTAATATTTTAAATGTTGATTTGCATAATTTTACTATGAATGTGGAGGGGTACATCTGTAGAGGTAGACCTAGAAAGAGATGGATGGATTGCATGAAAGGTGACATGATAAAGAAGGAAGTGATGACGACGGATGATAGAGTGCTTTGGAGGACGAAAACCCGGTGCTCCGACCCTACGGGAGTAGGATAAGGCAGGGGAGATGATGATTTGCATAATTTTGACTTTCAACCCTACGATAGTTTACGTAGGAGCCATTGAAATATAAAAATGATGGAAACAGATTCATTTACTTAAATTCACATATTTATAATTAATTCGACTTCAAACACTATTACTAATTGTTGATATTTCTTTGTTCTTTTCGTTCCTCTTTATTCCCCTCAAATCATCATAAATGTCTTCAAGATCTCGTGCCTTAGTTTCTGGTACAACAATAATAGTGTACAGTGCACTACTAAGGCACATAAAACTGAAGAAATAAAAGGCGTAGTGAACACCGATAGAACTGGCCAGTGGTTTAAAGTATAACAGCTGAAGGAAATCAGCTAACGATGCTATCGCCATTGTTGTGGCTAAAACTGATCCACGATACTGAAAAAAAAAATTGTTCATTTCAATTAAAGTCAACTTCATAAATTTTGAGACCAACTTTAAGGTAGGGCGTGGTTGGGCGACCGCTTTGGACTCTCTTCTTGGATGGTACTTAGATATAAGATAATGTCAGGCCCTGTTTTTACCGGTGTCTTGAGCGGGCTTTTTACCGCGTCAATACACACGTAAAAAGCCATAAAAACCTTTGCTTCCATCGCCCTAGTCGGTCGCCACACCTCACCCTAACACTACTAGAGAAGCTAGTTATTTCACCTTGAATGAAAATATCTCTCCAGTGATGACCACAGAAATAGGTTGTAACCCAGACGCATCGCATAGAATACACAAGCATAGAGTGAAGACCGGGATCCAAGCAGGCGCGAAGTACGAGTAGTCTCTAGCCAGGAACCAGGACGCCAAGCCGAACATACTCAGGCCGGATATAAGACAAGTGCCAGCCATTAAGACCTGAAAGGAGGTTAAATGTATCAACTTATATATACTTCTAAAGAAGATATAAATTTTTGCATTCATTTTATACCATAAACTTCTCTGGCTTATTCTTAAGCTTTTTTCTCTTAATATAACAGTTAACTTTCGTCCGCGACTAAGTCCGCGTGGAATTATAAAAAAGTGAGTAACCTATGTGTTCTTCCAGACTATCCTGTACCAAATTTTATCGAAATTTGTTCAGTCGTTTAGGCTACAAACTTTACAAACATGCATACATCTGTCCATCCATCCATGTATATTATTATATAATTTATAATATTAGTTTGAATTTGTTTGTGTTTTTCATTAAAAAACATAAATTAACTAACCTTTCTTCCAACTTTTTCTACGACACTTGAAGCGAGTAAAGAGCCCGTTAACTGAACGACTCCCAGCATCATCGCTTGTTGATTGGGCGAAAGTATCAAGCCTGTGCCTTCTGAAGCCATAGCGAATATTCCACCAGCGAAGTTCAACACGGGAACAGCGCCACATACTTCCCTAGCTAATGCCGCCATTAATGCTATTTGAAACGCCTTGAACAAAATCTTATCCTTCACTGGAAAAATAATTAAACAAATTTAATCGAAATCTGTTCAGCCGTTTAGGCTACAAACTCTAACAAACATCCATCCATCTAAACTTTCGCATTTATAATATTAGTAAGACGTAAGATTAGTAAGATAAGATTTCCTATTTTTTTCTTTTCATTTTGTTATTGCAACAAATACATAATTAACTGGCAGTCAGACGGACTGGCAGGCAACAAAATCAACTCATGAATTAAAAAGTCAAAGTTTGACATTTGGCAGTTGCAATTTAAAATGAAATGCAATAATGATCTAAAGTTTTAAAAGTAAAAAGACGATTTAAAAAAGATAATTTGAGTTTTTAGGTTATTATTTAATTAGTGTTTACTATCGATGTGTTAAAAGTGAAGTAAATAGAACATACGGATTGCTTTTAATAGAAATTTGTCTCCGTCGATGTCATTTTTTTGTTCTTTCTTTAAAGCTTCAATTTCGTTTTGTATCGTGTAGTGATTTTTGCCTCTTCGTCTTAACCAAGATAACGCTTTTGCTGCCTCCTGTAAGTTTTTTTTTTTATTATGTAATTAAAAATAATGGAAACCTAGCTTATGCAACTAACTGATAACGTAGCTTATTAATGTATATTAGTATAGATATAAGGAAACGTTACATTGTAACATTTAAATCCTTAGTTAATTTTCTTAAACGCGTACAAGATTGATGTAGAAGATGCGATATTAAAAAACATGATTGCGTGAAAGGTGCCATGGTCAAGAAGTGAGTTATGACTGAGATGACGGATGATAGAGTTATTTGGAGGGTGAAAGCACGGTGCACTCTACGAGTGTAATATAAGGAGATGACGATATCAAAAACACTTATAACTTATAACAATAATGACATGCATTTACGTACCTCTTCTTTACCAATCTTCACTAAATACGATGGTGATTCCGGCATCAATGTGAATGTTATCAAATGGAACACAGGTATGGATAAACAGATCCACAGAACTGTGCGGTAACTGAACAGATCACCAATTATATAAGTAAACAGACTACCAGTGGTGAAGAATAATGCCAACTGAAAAGAAAACATAATACGTAGTTGATCTGTATGGTCTCACAATTCATATGTGTCTAGCAGATCAGTGCGTCGGCTCAATCAGCTCGCAGCTATAGTACATCGCTTGAGCTGGTTGTTGAGCCGCAGTTCATTTGTTTTCTAATGTAACTCACCATACATCCTAAAGCCCCTCTGATATTGTTATCGCAAACCTCCTTTGTATAAACTGGGCAGTTGACGCAACTGGCTGCCATTACGATCCCCGCCAAACATCTCGCTACAAGGAACGCCCAGATGTTATATGAAGACAGTTTTAATATCCAACATGCCTGTAAATTACACACAACCTATTTGATTGTCGTCTGTCGATTGTTTCACAGTCCATTCAACTGTTTAGTTGCACAACTAAAAATCGAATAGTGTACGCAACTCCATGTTACCTCATAGGAATCAAAGCGCGACTAAACAGAGGCCTAATTTTAATCCCTTTCCCTTTCCACTCTTTTCTTAATAGGAAAGGATGAGAAGGAAAAGTGGATTAGACGGTGGAGGAAACGCATAGGAAGGGAAATTGTGCTCTGTTAATTAAGGGTAGGCAACGCATCTGCAATTGCGGATGTTTATGGACAGCGGTCGATTTTCATTTCGGTGGATTTAGGTGGCCGCTTGCTCGTTTGCCACCTTATGTTATAAAAAAAGTTTAGTGTTAGGCGTAGAAATGTTTTAGTGTCAATATTCTAGTTTTCACCCAATGGTTGTTGTTTTCTTTTAAATTATGTTAAAAAAATAGGCAAACAAACTCAATGGTGTGTTGTGGAATCTAATGCTATTATATGGTTTTCACGTCTTTCTAAAATACCCCAAGTACCAAAAGAAATAGAGTAATCTACCGCTCAGTTAAAACTTGATATAAGCAGTTCTATGCGGTTTACTTTTTACATTCGCAATCGCTTTTATGCCTATCAAATGTAACACCGAACCTGACATGTGGATAAAGTTAGTATGTCATTTTGTCCGATATCAGATATTGTCTGTCTTTTCAAGGACTACTCTCCTGGCTTGTTTCTAAGAGGAAAATATATCTTGTTATTTTGTACTTTGTTCATTAAAGGACTTATCTCGAAACCGCGAAATTGTTTTTGATACGTTACCGAGAAAATTTGTACTAGTTAGATTTATAAAGCCAATCTATACTATAATATAATAAAACGAAAACACACACTACTTTGTGGCGTAAGATGTCAGCAATCACAGCGTGTTTTTGAATGATTTTTCTTTAATAAAAAGTCCTACAATTTTAGGCTATATATTTTCACGCTATTAAATTTAGAGGGTAAATAAATTGGATTAAAACCCTAATGTGGGAAAGGGTCAATAAGCTACAAACTGCAAACAGCAAAGAAATAAGAATGCCATGGTTTGTCATCAATTCATGTTATTTTAACAATATTTTTTTTTATTAATTCATGTGGATGAAGCCGCACGGGAACAGCTAGTATCGTATTAATTTTGTGGATGACGTTATAGATAAGTTCTCGCAGCCTTAACGTAAATATTCGTGATAGACACTCTCATCCTTTCAATTCCACATATCCATTTCATAAATATTGTATTCTTTGTTACAACAATATTACCATCCTTCTACTTTTCTTCAAAAATACAGAGATAACAATGATATCTTACCATGTTATTTATAGTAAAAATGTGGCAAACGAACAAGCGGAAGTACTACGACTGTTAGTTGCATAAAGTTAAACTTACCGCGCACATTGTTGACATGAATATTATCGACAATTTTCTTCCAAATCTATCCCCAACGTATGCAACCAAATAGTTTGCCGGTACGCATACTAAATACGGAAGTGAGGCTATCCATGATATCTGTAATTGAAAAAATGATCTTAAAATAATGAATTATAAAACTAATGGTAAACAAGAGTTAATAAACTCGAGTAACTATGACTTATGATAGTTAAAGAATAAGATTCATCATCGTCCTCCATAGGATAAGTCCTACTCCCGAAGGGTCGGCGCAACAGGTTTTTGTCCTTCAAATAACTCTATACGTCATCTCAGTCATCACTCCCTGTTTGATCATGTCACCTTTTACGCAATACATCCATCTCTTTCTATGTCTACCTCTAACGGTGTACCCTTCCACACTCATAACTAACGTACTCCTTGTCACATGTGATCCATCCCTCTTCATAACATGCCCATACCAAGCTAACTTTTACTTACTTTTCTTTTTCTTTTACTCCTTACTTCTCTACCACTGTTTCTACACTCAAACTTCCTCTAATATACTCATTTATCTTATCCATTTGAAAGCTTATTATTGTTGAAGAATACAATTGATTGATCTAATTCACTTGAAAGGCTACAGGTCGTTGTTTTATTCTTGACTGATTTCCGTCATTTTGAAATTGACTGTTAGAGCGAGAGCACATCTTTGAGCATACCTCGATAAATTTTGCTAACCTTGGAAAATGTATTGTTATGTCTTATTGTCATTTTTCACATCGATGTAAGAGCGTGCGCACACCTTTGACTAAATTATCGCACAACTGTTTCGTCCCTGTTTGATTCCTAGGAGCTTGGAGGTGCGCACACCACTCTATGTTTAGTTGTACAAATAAACAGTTGAATTAGCTGTGAAACAATCGACAATCGCACTGTTGTGCGATAGTTTAGTCAAAGGTGTGCGCACGCTCTATCTTACTTCTTACTAATATTATAAATGCGAAAGTTTAGATGGATGGATGGATGGATGTTTGTTAACGTTTGTAGCCTAAACGACTGAACGGATCTCCATGAAATTTGGCACAGGTTTAGAGCATAGTCTGGAAGAACACATAGGCTACTTTTTATCCCGGGAATAGTTACGGTTCCCGTGGGATTCATTAATTTAGTTTTTTAATGTTTACTCGATCATTCTGCAACGGTTCAACATATCTTATTGAAATTTGTCACTGATATAAAACAAAGTCAGGAGTACACATGAGATAAACTTCATCCCAGAGAAATATCCGGTTCCCGAGGGATACGTAGCTTTTTGTAATTTATATAGTTGGTATGTTTTCTAATGCCACGCGGACGAAGTCGCGGGCAACAGCTCGTTATGCATAAATGTTGCTGTTTATTGCGCATTTGTTTCTGCCATATTGTTTACGATCGGCAGTTAAATATTATGATAATAATTTATTACAAAATACTCGATTGACTTTATTATTTTATTTTCTTATTGTTTTAAATTGGATTATTGAACTTTTTGTTGGTAGTCAAGAATTATGAAGTAAACAGATTATTTAATAACAATAAAGTAATGTAAACGATACATATTTTATAATTCCTTTTTTTTATACATTTGTGTAAATAAGCGGGAAACAATTATCAAGTTTAATTAATAGCTAATTTAAATAACAATGTGTGTTTTATCTAAGAATGTAGACTTTCTATTTATTAAGCCCGCGACACATGTCCAATTTTAACTGCACTGTTTTAAATAAACTGTCCGAGTGTTTAAAATGAACGCGTATCTATACTATTATAATAAATTGTAAACACACACTTCTTTGTTGCCTAAGATGTCAGTAATTACAGCATATTTTTGAATAATTCTTTTTTTAATAAAAAACCCTACACTTACGTCACGCTTTTGGCTATATGTTTTCACGTTATTAAACTTAAGGGGTAAACATTTTGGATAAAAACTCTAATGTGGGAAACAGACCGTAAGTTCCTGCCACCATCAAGGAAGCAAGGTTGCCAAGGCTTGTCTTCATTTCATGTCATTTTGACATTTGTAATTGATAATTTGACACAAGTAAACGCTATAATAAAATGTTCATAATTTTACGCGGATGAAGTCGCACCGGAACAGCTAGTATATGATAACTGTATAGTTTAACTGATACTTTTTTAATTTTACAGACCAGTTGAAACTGTAGGTGTGTAGCAGGCTTTAGAATTCGAGACATATGTTACTGACACTCAATTTTAAAACTATAAATAATGTTTTCTATTGTTAATTAAGCATTGTATTTGTTTGAATTAATGATTATTGGGAGAAAGAAATAATCGGCAGCAGCTACCAAGAGACTGTCATACTTCATATTAATATTATAAATGCGAAAGTTTAGATGGATGGATGTTTGTTAGAGTTTGTAGCCTAAACAGCTGAACGGATTTCGATGAAATTCGGTACAGATGCAGAGGATAGTCTGGAAGAACACATAGGCTACTCACTTTTGTTTTTTTTTTATTTCAAGCGGAACGTGAACTACTTGGAATATGACTATAAGGTCTCTATAAACTGTTGACGATCATTGCAATGGTGGTACATATTTTAGAGATTTGGTAAATTACCTCAATATCCGTGAGCGGGACTTCAGTGGGCGTATCCTTTGACTGTAATAAAAGCGTCATCGGAGACATCCATCCTATGGTTGTGCCGTATGATATCGCCGGGATGTTGACTGTAAAAACAAACTACAGTTCTATACTTAATACTAACTGTTGCACGCGACTTCACCCGCATAAAGTTAAATAATAATAAAAAATGTAGCCTGGGCTACACACAGATAAATTACCTTTGTAACGGTGAAAGAATTTCTAAAATCGGCCCAGTAGTTTTTGAGTTATTTCAATACATATAAAAACATAAATTATAATATTAGCCTCTTTATAACATCAGTATAGATAAAGAGGAAAAGGTTTTGTGTTTTTGTATGTATTGAAATAACTCAAAAACTGCGGGGCTGATTTCGATAATTCTTTCACAATTAAAGAGCTACATTATCAGTGAGTGACATAGGCTATGTTTTTTCATAATTTTTCAATTTCATGCGGACGAAGTCGCGAGCAACAGCTAGTTAAAAATAATAAGCGGAAGTGTAAGTGGAAATATTTTAGTATCGTTAATGTGTATGATAGAGGCCTATTTTTATTCCTCTTCTAAGGGAAGAATGGAAAAGGGGAGGTAGATATGACTTAGATGACACATTAAAAAGGGGAAATTTACTCTTTCTATTTGTCCCCTAATACACCGATTATGGACAGCGGTTGCTACGCTATTTCAGCAAATTCTGTTAGCAGTTTGCTTGTTTTCCATCTTATGGTATAAAACTAGACAAATAAGTATTCTACTTATCTAGATCAGTCGTTAAAATATGTTATAATTTTAAAGTTACTTTTAATTACAGATTAATGAGAAATAAACGTTAGAAATACTTACTAAAAATGGCGCATATTATTTGGTTGATCTGATTGCCCTCATTGAACACGAATTTATTTTTCATTTCAACTCTCACAATTTGACGGAAATTAAACGGAAAACGGAATAAAAATATTTTAACTACAATCGACGGCACCAAAGTGTAACTGGTCGTGGTAACTTATGATAACAATTGAGTCTTACAGTGAGTGTAATTTTTATCTCTTTATAAGGGCTTTGATACACTAGAGTTATTTTTTAAAAATTGCTTTATTTTATTGTACTCAAGATAGGCTTCGCGAGACAATTGACGTAGGGTAGGTCAAAACGGGGCGTTGATTTATTTAGACACTAGATGTTCCCCTGCGACTTCATCCGCATAGAATTATGAAAATTTTATTTTTATGTTTACATGTGTCGAATCATCAATTGTAAATGTCAAAATGACATGACAAATGATATGATAAACCATGGCAACTTTGCTTTCTTTATGTTGGCAGCAACTTATGGTCTCTTTCCCACATTAGGTTTTTTATCCAAAATAATTACCCCCTAAGTTTAATGGCGTGAAAATATATGGCCTAAAGCGTGACGTAACTGTAGGGCTCTTTTTAAAAAAATAATTATTCTAAAATATGGTGTAATTGTTGACATCTTAGGCAACAAAGAAGTGTGTGTTTACGCTTTATTATAATAGTATAGACTAATGTGATGTTTTAATACCTAATATATTTTATTTTAAAGAGAAGCGAGTCTGCCCCTTTCCCTTCCTCATTCTCTTTGACAAAATAGAGACTAAAATATCTATATATAGATAGAGATCTATTTATATAATAAAATTGGAGTGTCTGTTTGTAATATCAAAAGAAACATTCCAGATTTCGGAAAGATGGTGTATTTGCGTTGCTATTAACGAAAATCGCTTAAAAACTATTGTCCGTCTGTCTATGTCTGCAAGCCACGTTTGTTACGGGTAATCTCCGAAACGGCTGGGCTGATTTCGACCGGACTCTCACTGAAGGGTAGCTGAAGGACTACTTTCTTATCTTGATGTTGCGTGGACGACGTCACAACCGTGGAACTTGACGGTTATTTGAACAAAATAATGATTTAGTTAAATAAGAAAAACCGCCAATATGTATAGATATTTATACAGTGAAACTAAACCGTACCTAATTGATTAAAATTCAGATTAAATGTCGATTTTACTAAGTATAGCACAAGTAAATGCTACATTCTGGTAGTTATGTTAATATTAAATATTCCACATAGATTTTAAAAAGTTAACTGGCTCCTACGGAAATAATTGTATCTCACATTGTCATTTGTTATGTATCATCAACTCCCCTGCCTTATCCTACTCCCGTTAGGTCGGCGCACCGGGTTTTCGTCCTCCAAAGCACTCTATCATCCGTCATCTCAGTCATCACTCCCTTCTTGATCTTGTCATCTTTCACGCAATACATCCAACTCTTTCAAGGTCTACCTCTACCGGTGTACCACTCTACATTCATAACTAACGTCCGTTGTTGTGTCTTGTTATTTATTATGTATATGTTTTATAAAACAAATTATTTAAATAAATAAATTATTTTACTGATTATATGTGTCAAATTGTCAATTGCAAATGTCAAAATGACATGACATGACAAAACTTGACAATCTTGCTTTCTTGAAGTTGGCAGCAACTTATGGTCTCTTAATAGCGTGAAAATGTATAGCCTAAAGCGTGACGTAAGTGTAGGACTTTTTATTAAAGGAAGAATAATTCAAAAACATGCTGTAATTGCTGACATCTTAGGCAACAAAGAAGTGTGTGTTTACGCTTTATTATATTAGTATAGATGAATTAACTAATTTATAAAATATTAATTTCAGTAAAGTATCGTTAGAAACAAAGACTGTAGTTTTTAGTAGTCTATAGTTCGTGCATATTTGATGCGTAGTTACGGTTGTAAAGTTTGTCTAGCAAAATTTGTTTTTCAAACGTATAGTAGTTTACATTATAGCCTATATAACTATAATTTAGATTTTTCTATTGTAATTATACTAACATTATGAATGCGGATGTTTGTTAGAGTTTGGAGCCTAAGCGGCTGAACGGATCTGGATGAAATTTGGCATAGGTGTAAAGGACAGTCTGGAAGAACATATAGGCCACTTGCTTTTGTTTTATTTAAATCCACGAAGACGGAGTCGCGGGCGAAAGCTAGTGAATTTGAATTTGTTTAGTTCATAAAAATTTAAACGCAAATACAACTCCGCCTTGGATTATTCATTTAATTTTATTGGATAATTAATATTGTATAAATTATTTTATATCAAGAGATTTGATTTTTGATTTTTCTTAGGTTTATGGTAGTTTTTAACATTTAATATATTTTAATAAAATTTAAACCAGATAAGAATTTTCATATTATACAAAAAAGTAAGTCACGTGTTGATGTTCAAATGGAATAAAAAAGCCTAATATTCCACAGTTTATGGCTACTATTTTTATTTTAGGAGCGTCGATTGCTCAGTGGTTCAAGCACTAGACTTGTAATCCAGGTCTTGCGTTCGAATCCCGTACCAATGTGATGTTCGGTTTTCGAATTGTAAGTGTACATAATTTACCCGAAGTTCTTACGGTGAAGGAAAATATCGTGATACTTGCACATTTCGGGGAAGACGTTCAAAGATATGTCTGAAGTCAACCCGCAGTGCAGCGTGGTTGACTATGGCCTAGTTACCATTATTTTGGCTCCGAGCCCGTTATTGGAGATGTATGGTGAGCTGATGATGATGATGATTTTAACAATATTCAAATAGTAATAAATCCATCCTTAAAGTTGTTTAAGAACAGATTTTTTTTTTATAATATAAGGAGGCAAACAGCCAGCGGCCACCTGAATCCGCCAAAATGGCGAAGCGACCCCTGCCCATAAACATCCGCAATCGCAGATGCGTTGGTTACCCTTAATCGACGGAGGAGGAGATGCACATAAAGAGGACATTTCCTCTTCTTATGCGTCTCCTCCGTCAAATCCACTTTCCCTTCCCTTCCTTTCTCACAAGAAACAGGGTGGGACCAAAGTTGGGTCTCCGGCATCACACTCATCAGACAAAACGCGGAATTTCTAGCACTTGACGCCTGTCTTCTGTGTGATCGTGGTACACGGGGTGATTCGGCTTATTCGCGCTAGATGTTAAAGCGGGCTCTACCATTGTATATACCTTAAATTAAAAGAATATACTTTAAAGTGTGGAAAATTTTAAATACTTTAAAACGTGTAGGTTTTGCTTCAGCTACCTCACGTGTATTCACATTTATAATGTTAACAATTAATTTAATTAAGATTTATAATTTAAATGCGTCAAATGTTTTTATTGTCTTACGTAAGATTAAACCCTTAAAAGACAGATTTTTAAATCAAATTAAAAATGTATAACTTTACCCTTTATTGTGTTTACTAAAAGGGAATAAATTAATTATTATTAATACTAAAAAAACAATACGATATTTTTATATGTTGTCCTTCTGACTCGTTTGCAAAACATGTTTTGGTAATAGGCACCTTTTTGTTTTATAACTTGAAGATTATCAGCTATAGGTAAGATGTCAAGAGCTAATCTATACTTATATATACTTATTATAATAAAGCGTAAACACACATTTCTTTGTTGCCTAAGGTGTCAGTAATAATAATAATAGTTTTTTTAATAAAAAGCCCTACACTTACGTCACGCCTTTGGCTATATATTTTAAGGCCAACTTAGGGGGTAAATGTTTTGGATAAGAAACCCTAACGTGGGACAGAGACCATAAGTTGCTGCCAATATCAAGGAAGCAAGGTTGTCTTTTTTTTACAGATGTAAACAATAACATAAAATTTTCATAATTTCATGCGAATGAAGTCGCACAGGAACAGCTAGTAACTATTATAATAAATATTCAGTATTCCCGATGCTCGTTTGTCTCTTCTCCAATAAAAAATAAAATAAAAATAGCAAACATTGCACCATTATAAGTAGTTAGTTCTTTTTTATAAGTCACGATTTTACGTTAATGTTACTATTAAATGACATTGTAACTTATGTTGTGAGGCGAGAATCGCATGTGACAATGGAAACTTGACAGATCACTGACTGAGGGATATAAATAGATAGGCTATAATTTGTGCAATTTTGTACATATTGGGTTTCTGCCAATTGGTGTTGACATTGTTTGTTGAAAGTGGTAAGGATTCTAAGTAGTATTAAAGGGAGTTGAGTTACAGTAACATCAAAATGGCGTTTAAATAAGCGAACGTAATTTGCAAGTAATTGCCTATCCATTAACACAGTGTGAGGGATACATTGGATAGGGCTAGGAAGGACTTGTTTGCGTAAACCGTGATTATGAATTGAGTGACGACTGAGGTGACGGATAAATCGATATAGTGGACGAGGACTGGTGTGGTAAGTCTACGTGAATGGGATAGAACCAAGATGATGACGATGATCCTTTACCAGGTGATATAGGAGGTCATAGAACTAGAAAAATGACGACAAGCATTTGGATGGATAAATTCTTTTCATGTCTGTATATCGCAGATTAAGTTATCTTGTTAGTTATATCGTTTTTATAAGAATTAATGTTACTACTTATTTCAAATTTAATGTTATCAATTAATATATTAACATATTATTAACTTATTACCTGCTTGTAGATAGTAATTAAGTACCGTATAAATTAACAACTTTTTACAATTTTATAAAAATATATTTAAACTTTATTTTTGTTTTCTCACATATATCTTTATTCCTTATTTTGTATTTATTTTACATGATTTGTATAAATACAGTAAAACATATTGTATAAAAAATAGATCACCACCGGCTGCGGAATCCTACTCAAGTAATCATTGGTCAGGGCTGCAGAGGCAGGAACCTCCACAATATGCGTGCG